GGGATCGGACCGCCAGGGCCTCCCTTGGCCGCCACCCGATCCACAAAGCACCGAACCCCTGACATTCCCCTTGTGGGTGGTGGGCCCACCTGGGGACAGTCCCGCGTGCTTCTTTCGGGCTGTGCCCGGCCGGGCCCCACGGGCCAAGGCCCGGCCACCAGGCGCTCGCCAACGGGCCCCTCCCCCAGGCCTGGCTCCAGGGTGGGGCCCCGGTGACCCTAGTCCGGGCGAGGGAAACGGGACTTTGCTTTTAAACTTTTTTATGGGGTTCTTTATAAAAATACATTCCCAAAAGCAGTTTATCTAAAAGCTAGTTAAGAAAAACATACCCTCTCGTCAATTTTATCTCACAAGACACAATAACACAGAGAGTGTTGACAATGAAAGTGTAGCAGATGTGAAACGGCGGAGACAGCAGCCAGGCATGGAGGGATCAATTCTTCGTTTTATTTTATTCTACCTGCACCACGAAAGCAGAATGGGGATTGTACACACACGTAGTCAACTGCAGTTTCTCCCGCTCCCTGCACATGTAAAATGTTACATGTAATTTTCCTCCAAAACTAACTTATAAGTACTGAAACATGCATATAAAATGACTGCACACCATCATATACTCATGTTACTTATTAATTAAGCAGTTTAACCGTTCCAATTCACAAAATGTGGGAGAGTTGACCGAAGTCAACTTACCGCAAAGCACCCACTGTGCCTCTGAGGAGCCGCAGAGGCGCGCAGCAAGGTGCGTGCGTAAGGTGTAACTGCAAGCTAAACCCCACCTGCAACCCGGAGCTATGGAACCCTCCACATAATAATTTAACTTACTCATTTATATAACCAGTTACCGTTCAAAGTTCAGTTGACTAATAAAATATAAAAAAAACATATAAAAGAAATAAAATATTTCAACTGCTACAAAAGCATACTGTGCTCCTTTGAGTCTCATGCTGTGCCTTTGCTTGTATAAAGCCTATGTATTTTCTCTTACTTCTGCATAGTTCTTCAGGATATGTGAAAGGCGAACGACTTTCATAACATTTGCTTTACCCCTTAGGTCATCCCACAGGTACTCTGGGGACAAAATCTTAGATGGTTTATTGTAAAGCAGGTACCAGTTTAGGTGGCTCTCTTCCTGCCAGGCTGCCTCTATTCCATTTGCTTTGTCTGCTTCTAGATTTTCATGACAACTTTTAACCAGTTTATAGACTTCCTCAACTCTGCCCCCAAACATGGCTCCAATATAATAGAAGTCTCCCTCCCCAGGAGGAATATAAGCTGTAGACTCAGGACGCCGTTCGTAAGTGAACTGGTCGCGACCCAAATCATAGAACCAAGGGTGTATTTGGCCAACTAGCCGATCCAGTGTCTCTGCACCCCAGCGAAAGTGGAATTTTGCATCGACATCCTGGCAGTAGATGTAATCTGCCTCTCGGTAAAGCTGCTCCTCAATGATGGTCTGGATCATCTGCATCCTCGAAGCAGAGATGTCCTGCCAGCGTTTTAATTTCGGCACCTGATGGACAAAGATTTTTCTTCCAGCAGCCAGATCCACTGCTGGCACGTCTTGCAGCTGGTCAGTGAAAATGTGATAGTGCACTTTGAAGTCAACCATAAAGTGCTTCTCTGCAGTTTCCAAGAAATCACGCAGAAACCTGATATACCTTCCAGAGACAGATACAGACAGATCTGGATTAGTGCTCTGAGAGTTCATTTCTGTATTAATAGGATTATATGCTTGCAAATTTTCTGCTCACTTTCCAATGGCAAACACAGTTGTAGCAATGGTCAGATTCTTTGGCTTGTATATGGCGTCAACTAAAACAGGGTCAAAAGTTTCTTCCCAGACAATTGGTGCTGACCAGGGGGTTACAGCCACCACATCGCAGCGCCTAGAAAACAGAAGGTGTGTGGAAAGTCAACATGCTCCTATTGTCAACTGGAAACACAAAGAACAGGGTATATTCAAGTGGTTCTGCTACTGACTTCTTCCACAATTCAACTGTTTTATAATCTAATAATCTATTAATTTGGTTTGTGTCAACTCTGACAGTCATAAAAGCACAAAATGAGTTTGCCTTCTCCAAATGAAACATAAGGGCTAAAAAGATATTACTGTAGGTATTAACTGCAGCATTTGGTCTGCATCTTATTCAAGCTCCGATTAAGAAAAACTATAAAACTATTTTTAAAAAGCAGTTTTGTTTTAATACACTGACCTTTGTTCAATTTTGTCTTTCTATTGACCTTTACTTGAGTGAATCAGATTTTCAAACCTGGAATTTCCTAATTATTATTTTTATTTTACTGTGCAATAATTTGGCAGCTTGGCACTGTAACGCAGACATTCACCAAATGTCTTTTAAGAGAGACTCTTTCTTGGAAGTCAGGATTTCACATTTTTTCTGATCCACGGTTTTTTCTTACCCCAATGTTATACCTGGTTGTTTGTAAAGTAACCTGCAAATACAGAATGATGTAATTACTTTTTAAAAGTTCATATATGTTTCTCTTAGTGCTTGTTAATTTTGTTTTTAAATGTTGGTGAACAACTCATCAGTGTTAGACTGAAAATCAATCACATTTCAATACTAAATAATACACTGAATAACACTCAAGTAAAAATGAACACTAAGCCAAAATAAATGGAAACCCTTCGTTAGATCTGCTATCTACTGTATAAGGAATAAAAGAGTTTTGTTCATTTCCAACAATTCCAGGGTGTCACTAGATTATGTAGAGAATGCATTTTGGAAGTAGTTTTTCAGCATTAGCCATGAAAAAAGGTATAAATAATTGTATTTCTGCATGGTGAAAATCAGCAATCTCACCCCTTTGGAGAGTCAAGGTCACAGTTCCTATCCCTGAACAGGACCTTCCTCTGCCTGAAGGACAGAGGTGTACAGTATATGATCATGATGATGATGATAACGAGGACAGAAACACAAACCTTTCATAACAGACAAAAATCTATTTCTGCTTTTGTGTTTATATTCGGAGGATTTAGTGACAGTGTTAATGCATGATTAACTCAATGTCCAATGGAATTACTGTAAAAGTTTAAACACTTACACTGGACAGACCGGTATGTTTCCATCAGAATTGACATGGGGCAGGGAAATGGACCAGCTGAGGAATAAAATAAATTAATCTTAACTAAGAGGGTTGTATTGTTTAAAAAAAGACAATTTAAAGACTTTCATGGATCAGCATTAAGGAAATCATCTTGCTATATAGCAGAACTTCTGTTCTTACCTCTTATCGTTAAAGAAGAAAACAAGGAGGGCAGCCCTTTAGGGTATGAAATAAGCATTACTACATGAAGTTAACAACAACAACAACAAAAAACAATATATATATATATATATATACATATATATATATACACTCACCTAAAGGATTATTAGGAACACCTGTTCAATTTCTCATTAATGCAATTATCTAATCAACCAATCACATG